ACATTGATACAAATTTTATTATAGTATATTGTTGTAGCTGGTCTATTTTATTATTAGAAATTGTTGTTAATCTCTTAACTGGTCCTAACTTATAAATTAAACTTTATCATAGGTAGATATATGTGTGGAGGAAAACATAGTATATGCAGGGTTAGGTGCTGTCTGCAGTTCTGGGCATCCACTGTGAGGCTCGGAACATATCTCCTGCAGATAAAGGGGAGCTACTGCATACAATACTTTTGTTTGAAACTCGTTTAGATTTCCATTGTTTTCTGGAAAATACTCAGCACCTTTATTATTGCCCTGCATGGCTTGTTCTTCCAGTCTGTTGCCTTTTCCTCTCTATGTTCATCTTATTGGACATTGGCTTCTCAGATGCCCTTTGATTCCTCTGCCACAGGGTCTTTGCATGTGCTATTCTCTGTGGTCTTGAACTATTCTTTTCCTGAAATGATTTTTTGCCATATTCCAAAGAATATTTTTCCCATTTCCATTTTAGAGGCTGAAATGAGCAGAATCTTCATGGACATTTGCTTTTCTGGCTGCAGAACTGGCTCATTGTTTAGGAAAGCATCATGCTTGCTTCTCTGTTATCTTTTTTGGATAGGTGAGGAAGCAGCTAGTTTTTATAGTGATAGATGGGGCGTTCTGTTAAAACCAGAAAGGTCAATATAGACCAAAATTTATCTGGGAAGGTCCATAAACATCCCTGTCAAAATAAGCTCCAGAGAGCTGCTATACAACATTGTACATATAAAGCAACAATGATGTGTTGGAAATTTAATAATGTGTTAAGACAGTAGGCCTTATGTTAAATGTTCTTACTAAAATAAAATAAAATAAAACAAAATAAAATAAAAACATGTCAGTCATGGTGTCCCAGAATGTGGAAGCCAAGATGAGGAAAACATGTGTTGATCTCCTGCCCTTCTTTGTCACTGTTAATGATGTGTCTGCTGGGAATCCCCCAAGTCCGCTGGCGCGGAGGAATTGGGAGGTACTGGTCATGACTCACCATGTCTGAATTACAGAACACCTCATTTTACAACATTAGGACAAATGTCGATGTCTGCCAAGGATGCTTAAGGCTTCCTAATGTGACTGCAAATGCTTTTACTGAGTGCCGGCCTTGGATGCTAGAACAGCATCAGTTCACATTACACTGAATTCCTTGTCTTTCTTTTTTTGCTGAAATAAAGAAAAGAGAAACTGCTAGGAAAAACTGGAGCACCTTTATCATAGCTGATATGTGTTCACTCTCACCTCGAGAAATGAAAGAGACTATCCATTAGAAATTATTGGTTGATTTGCTAATGCTAAGTTTTTTCTCCGAGGGTTGGGTTGGTACACAGGGCAAAAGGCAATCTGAGCAGCCCCACTGGTTTGCATTAACTCAGAAATGGCTTCAGTGTCTGACACATTTCAGTGCCCAGCACGTCTGGATGACCTTACACCACTTCTGCATGGAACCAAGCTTCATACTCATTTGAAGACACACAAAGTATCTTATAACAAATTAGTGTTTTTCTCTGAGAGGAACTTACTAGTTCATTGGTTTGAAGATAGTGATCTTTATTCTGACTAGAGCTGACTCTTTTTATTATTTGCAAAATTTAGAACTTAATCTTTTGCTTTATGCTAAATAACCGAGGCAAATCCCGAATGGCGCCAATCCCCTCACCCCATTGCTCCTGCGTCCATAGGAAACATAATTAGTTGATCCTGACAGTTGCCCATTGAACCCGGGGTTTAGGCTCCGTCTCAACACATCACTGCACGTATCCTTCAGCCAGTGTTTATTTTCCCATGATGTGAAATATGAGGCCAGCTTTCGTATACATAAAATGTAAGCCGGTATTTCTTAAACTGGAGAGATTTTTTTTTATTGCAGGATTACTTAACCTTCAATATATGGATATTTAATGTGCTCTTCTAAAAGGAACTAAAACACATCTGACCCCTGGGCTCACTGGATCACAGAACCCCTTTTTAATGCAGTTCCTGTGAATCTTTGTAACACGACTTGGGAGACAATACTGTAGTGCTTTACTGTTGATGGATTTTTCGGCTTGAGGCTTCTGATGCTTATGGGTGACCCAGGTGGTCATGTTTTTGTAATTATTGTTTTGTAATTGTTTTTTTAAAATAATGATATGGATGTGAATTATATGCTATAAAGGTGTACTTAAGAGCTGGTGAGATAACAAGTCAGCCTCGGGTCCTCCACTGTTCACATTTCAAAGAGGACTATTTCTTGCAAACTAACTTCATTGACAATTTACTCCAAGTCAAATGTTCCAAGCACATACATTTTAGTAAAATGACCGTATATCCCAGCTTATGACTGAGGCTGTCTTGGCTCATGCCTGCTTTCCATTACACTTAGTAACAATACTTCCTTTCACCTCTTTAAATGATAAATTAATTAAGGCATCTCCTTCCATTTAATTTTCCAACTAGGCTAATGTGGGTATTGTTAACCCCATTTTGTCAATGATCGAACCGGCAGGACCCAGCTGAGCCCATGTTCAAACTAGGTCCGTCTAACCTCAGAGGACCTACATGCTCAGGAAGGCAGTACGGTCCTGCTCCTTTACTACACAGTGTCACTTAGCACCCGTGAGACTGTGTGACAAGCACAATCACCTGCATTTTGAACATATATAGACGTAGACATATGAGGTTTCTTGTATTGAGAATGTGGCCTTTTGCTGTCATTTAGGTGGAACTAGTCCTTGTCCCCGGAGATCAGCCCCACAACAGGAGGCAGTGTGCCTGGCTGGTAGAGCCACCCAGGGGCTGCCTCAGGCGACCGGCCAACTCTGTGCGTGTCTGCTGGGACCCACGCAGTCAGGCACAGGATGCAGATCTCTCTCCGAAACGTCCACACACTGAGAAAAGCAGCATGCAGTAAAACTCAGGTGAGTCTAAGTTAATAAAATCAGACCCCTGAGCATTGCAGTAAACAAGGAGAAACTCAGGTTAGTACACAATAGGATATAATGATAACATGAGTTACAGGGTCATTCTCATTAGAAAAACACTGAGAGTAGTCTTATTTTCTTAAAATTGGAGTCTCCATTGGTAGGGTAATCTGTTTGATTTCTCAAAAGGCATCACGGTCAGCCATTCTTTTGAGTATTTAATGATCCATTCGAACTTAAGCCATATGTATTCTAAAAGACTTCCACCTATGGTCTCATAAGGGTTTCCACTTGTAAAACATTCTGTATAAAGTTAACTTTTTATTTTAACAAATTTAATATCTTATTCTGTAGTCTATGTCAGACATTTTGGAGGGGGAAGTTCTTTGTCCTGCATATCAAAGGATGTTTATTAGCATCCCTTCCCTCTGCAAACTAGATGCTAGGACCACCTTCTCTGTAGTCACGACCATTTAAAATGTCTCTAGATGTTGCCCAACATCTACGGCAAAGAGAACAAAATTGCCTCATTTGAGAACCACTGGTCTAGATGCTTCCTCTTTGTTACCTAGAAAACTGACTGGTGGAAAAGAAGGGAATTACTGTTAAACATAAAATTCCTTTGATAACATTCAGGACCTGTTCATATGCATATTTCTCTAGAGTCATGGTAAATTTAAGAACCTGAGGAAGGGGCCGGCTCTTGGCTGAAAGTGAGAGGGTGGCTTCACTCCTCAGAGGAAATCTGATTTAAGGAGGGGATGAAGAAAAAGATAAGGTGTATTAGCTACAGGCTGCTCAGTCTTCCAGAGTCAGCACCGAATCCTCAAGAGGCCTCTCATGGAGGTCTTTTTTTTTCCTGGCAGTGACTAGGGCTCTTTGAGAAATGCCCCAAACCTCTGGGGAGAGTTGATGCATTTCTAGCCTACATCCTGCCCCTCCAGTCTGTCTCCTGACCTTTCATCACTAAGGCAAACCTTCTGTTGTATGGCTTAAACTTGAGGGGCAGTATTTTATACATCAAGAATAAAGCCCAGAGATTAAGAATATTGCTTCTTTATGGAGCATTTTCATTTGGGAACATTTCAAAATTTGGGCTGGTCTTCTTCTGCCTTTGCATTTCTCTACTCTTCACCTCTTCCTTCCAAGAACAGGCATGCTGTGGATTCGTCTCGATCGTCCAGCTCCAACCTTGTCTGACCAACGTTCTTGTTCTGGCACAGCCTAATCAGCCAGGACAGGATGAACCATGGTAAAGAAAGCCCGGGGAATTTTAGGTTTCTTTTTCCATATTTCTTTGTGATGACAAAGGAGTAAGATTTCCAGGGCCAGTGTGTCTATGAAAAGAGACTATTAAATGGGCTTTTTGCCATGGTTTTGTTTTACGTTAATGCAGTTCATGAGGGAAGTATTTTACAGATCCTGGATTTAGATTCCCATCTATGTTCGAGACCTGATTAACACTCAGGCTTCATCCCCCATTTCCACCCTTAACTGAGTCTCAGGTATGAAATGAGCTAATTATATTAAAATTGGGAAAGTTAACATTTTACTTGTCACTGGATTTTACATTTTTAATAAGACTAAAGCTAATGGGGCAATTGCAGGCATCGGTCACAGGGTAATATGGAAGTTTGGACTTTAGAGATGATATGTACATTTACATTTTATAGGTGGAGAAAATTGCAGAAAGGCAGTCAGCTTTCCCATTGCTATCCCTAACTGCTTGGATGCAGCAAGCCACAGGAATGAGGGCTCGGTGCGTGGGACAGCGTGCCATTTCTCAAAAGCTCGGATGTGAAACTTAGGCTGAATTTTGAAATATAATAATCAAAGGTAGCTTCTATAGGGATTAATTAAACTGTATTATTGAAAAAACAGGTTTATTTAACAATCTTAATAGTCTTGAGAAACCTATCATCAGTATTTTGCAGAATCACTTAAAAAATAAACATTCCCATCTTTGTTTAGAAGCTAGACAAACATCATTTGTGTTTATTGTACTTTATGTGAAATGAGTCAGTGTTAGGGTGGTTGGTGATGTGGGCTGTGAAAGAATCCAGAAACAGAAGAAAGTACAGGGAATAAAATCTTTTAGTTCATTTTCCAAGAGGGCAGAGGGGCTTGTGGAGATACACCAGCCCTGAGCGGGGGGACTTTGAACTTTTATGAGGTGACTGTGGTGGTTGTAGAGCAGGATGTTCCGGTTGGTCTTGTTCAGGCTGCAGCTTGTCTGGATGTCATTGTCGGGTGCAGGGTCCAGTAACTGTGGTCTGGCACGTCCTGTATTGTAAGTTCCTCGGCGCCTCTGCACCTTCAGGGGACTTCCAGTAATTTTCTAGTCTTGAGGATAAAGGCTCATAGAAGAAGAGTCAGTCACGCTTTCTGGAGTCCAGCTAGCTCTGGCCAAGAGGGCTTGAAATGGGACTTTTGTCCTATTACACAAGTTCACTTTTTTTCAAATAATTTTTGTAGACTTCTCTCTTTGTAAAATGGCAAGCAGAAGAATTTAGTGGTTAATTTCCATGCATTGATCTTTCCCTCCACGCATTGATTTTGAAAAGTCAGCCATAGCTTTAAACATTCATTTTATTTGCAGCAAGTGTTCATGAAAATTATAGAATGGTTAAACCGTTTTCTATTCTAAGCTAGTAAAATGTGTCTAAGAAATAAGATGATGAATTTGTAAGCCTTTTAACAAGGTATATAGTTATAGAAATATATTTTAATATGAGATACAAAATGTTAGAAAAATGGTGTTTAGGGTTACATGCAAATAAGCACTAAATAAAGGAAGTTTTTTGCAAACATGATGTAACAATAATAGATAGTTTTGAAAGTGACAGATTCAGAAAATGGACCAGTCACTCAAAAGGCAAATATGTACTGAACAAATTTGTGTTTTCATTGTTATTCTAAAGGCTGGAGGAATAATTTATTAAGGTTGCTGCCTGAATTAGGCCCAATAACTTTGCTACAGAGCATTTAATGTTTCTGTTCTTGTCCTTCAATTTTTCAAAATGGAAAATAGTTGCTTCAGTGAAAACTGCATTGTAAAATGCGAGAATTTTGTTTTCAAAGAATGCCGGCATTCAATTTTAGTCTTGATATACCCATCTGAAGCAGATATAATGCCAATAAATTGTGGCAATAATAAAATCTGAAATCCAGAGGACTGCCTTTTCTTTCACAGTATAGATTTGCCCTGAAGACAGCAGGCCATCCAAATGCAAGCTTGCTTCATGCAGAAAGCACAGTATCTGCAGATTCTTATTTCATTATAATAACCTGAAAACAAGATCACAGGAAATGCACTAGTGAATAATGTATCATCAATTGAAATTGATTAGCTAGCATAAAGTCACCCCCATACATAAATCTTTCTGAGAAACAGTCACCTCTGGCTTGAAAAATACACGTTTATTCTTTCAGGAGAAGAAAATGAAATATTTATTCTGTTTGCTAGACAAATGATTCCTTCAAGTCCCTAATAAGCCTGCTTTAGGTTTTTAAAAAACATGGCTGTTTTTCTTACCTTCCTTAGTGATCTTTTCTGTAACAGAAACCAAATTCTTTCTCAACTTGGAGTCGAGCAGGATGCTAAGAAAAAAATATATAAGGAGCTAGTTAGCATTTCTCCATTTTTGAAGCTGAGCAAAGAAACATGAAAAAGTCATAGCTGCCTTTCACAGTCACAAAAAAGCAGCTTCACTGAGGTAGCTGACAAGGAATCCTTCCTTTTACAAGGACCCAATCACTGTAAAGCTCAACACCATCACAGTCCTTAACGTCAAACTTTATTTCCATTTTGATGGAGAGTAGCCCAAGTGTTGGGAATTTGTATTCTTTTCTCTTATCCAAAATAACAGAACACGATTGTACAGTCCTTTAGATTGCATAGAAGGACCTTTGTTTCACAGAGATATTTTGATAAATTCCTGGGCCTAGCTGGCCTCCCATAATTCTGCTGTAGCCAGATGAGTCTAGTGAGTCTATGTGCTGAAGGCTGCTCATCGGGCCTGTGGCCCATCGGTGGCCACAGAATGATCCAGAAATGCAAATACTTCAATCAGTTCTTAAGAGTGAATGGCTTTTTAGATTACTAATGATTTATTTGAAACATTAGAGAAATAGAGGGTTATTAAAATTTGGTACACTTAAATTGGTTTATTATGAGAACTCGACAAGGGTCTAATTCTGGATTTTTTTGCAGGAAATCCAGCTGCCACATGACCTGGAGAAACACTGCAAATTCCCTACATCTTATATATAGGTAGATAGGTGGAATAACAATTTTTATGAAGAAAAATTTGTGTACGGAACATTATCGGCGTTGTTTTGGACTGGTCTTGGTTTTCAGTTGCTGCTGTCTTTGTCTAGCGCGTTTAGAGCTTCTCGTTAGCAATCTCTTTTCTGTTGACTCTACAATGGGAAGTAGTGCCTATGTACATGAATGATATTGTGGGGCTATGTTTTCTCTACATCGAGACTTTAAAGACTGTATACATTGTGGTTCAGATAGACTCACCATAAAGATTGTGCCTTCATACCGCCTCTAAGATTTATTTGGTCCCCAAATGTGGAGTTGAACCACACTTTGGCCTCTATGCCTTTTTCCTTAGATCAAGTTCCTTCTTTGCCTTTTTCCAAATAGTTAATTTCATTTTACTGCTCATGGATTTTGCACACAAATGGTTATGTAACCTATTTTATTCATATTTTTAGTATGTTTCAAAGCATAATCAGGATAGAAAGCTCTTATGTTCTTTCTCAACAAAAGTCTTTTTTCCTTTTTACAAGAAATTAAGATAAATACAACCTACCTTATTGCCGAAAGGTATGCTGTATGTAATATTTTCATTGTGAACACTTTCATTACCTAGAAGTACAAACTCTGTTACTATCTCTTTAGTTATTTACACATTTAATGATTCATTTATTCAGCACATTCAAAATCACATATGCAAAGGGTAAGATATGGGTAAGGGGAAAATTACTGACGCAATTCAGGGGCATATTGAAAAGGCATGTTTGGCAAGTATGCCGTTTCTCCCACCTATACTGATTGACTTGTGTAGGATGCTGAGGAGTTGCTTCAGCCCAGAAACAATCTAACACCTTTGAATAACAACCTCCACTTGTGATGACACCTTCTTCCTCTTTTTCTTTTCTCCATTTACCAGGATTCACCAGTTGCAAAATACACTTTTTAAGAAAAAAATTTCCCTACTACTCTCCATTGGCTTATGCTACTGCCCTCCTGCCTTTACCACAGGCTTCCCATTTTCCGTCACAGCCTCGCCGCTCACTTCTGCTCCCAGCCAGTGCTTTGGTTGCGGCCAGAGCCCACTGCTTCTGGATTATCCCACAGCTACATGGCCGACCTCTACTTTCTCTCTGCCCTCCCAACATTCTGCACACGTTTCTCTCCATCACACGAAAGTGAATCACTCTCTCCAGTGTTATTCCAATTTCATTTGCTCTATTAATAACTTCCATTCATCAAACATCTGCTCTTATTTACATATATCTTCACAGCAATTCCCACGGTGGAATTCTTATCCACATTTCACACAGGAGGAAACTGAGGTCTAGCAAGCTTAAGTGACTTGTGGAAGGTCACAACTAGTAAGTTGTAGAGAGCCAGGTCAAACAGAGTCCAAAGTATAAGCTTCTTTTACTACATAACATTGCCTCTAGCGTTGCTATTCTAGAACCATGTCACTGTTTTGACTGCCAAGTGGTTTTGCATATCAATACAAAAGCTATGTGAGATTTTACACTGCTCTGCCTAATGGTATTAGGTTTAATTTATATTGAAATTGGTTTACCATGTGCTTTGTTTTAGTCCCAAAGCCTTCAATAAATATCAAGCACTTACCATTCGGATGGTGTACTATGGTGAGCCTGTCTAGAAGATACAAAAAAAAACCATATTCTAGTGAGTTTCGTTCAATATGTATTTTAAGTCTTCTTTTTTTTTTGGTTTAACTACATATCTTTAAGGGGAGCATGAAATTTCACAATCTGATTTAAAAAATACCTCCATCAAGTGTGAGAAATCATGTTTTATTACTTTTTCTTCCTTCTGTTGCTTGTTTCTAAATATTATGTTTTAGATATGTTTGACACTTAATAAAAGCTTGCTATTCTGCTATAATATTGTTTTAGCCCGGGCTACTCCTTTGTTTGAAGTTAACATTATTCAGTAATAATTACATGCTGTACAACTCAAACATTTTCTAGTATATACTTTTGACAAATATATATAGCCAGTTAAGATAGAGAAAATTTCTCCCATAGAAAAATCCTTTTATGTCCCCTTACATCCATCCTCACCTCACCATTGCTCCTCATAACACTTGACCTGATTCCTATCTCCATTAGATTTGTTTTATCTAGAATGCCAGATAAATGGAATCTTACAGTTTGTACTTCTTTGTGTCTAGTATCTTTCTTTCTCTTTTTTATATAAATATTTTATTTATTTATTTTTAGAGAGGGGAAAGGAGGGAGAAAGAGAGGGAGAGAAATATCAATGTGTGGTTGCCTCTGGTGTGCCCCCTACTGAGGACCTGGCACACAACCCAGGCGTGTGTCCTAGACTGGAAACTGAATCGGCAACCCTTTGTTTTGCAGGCTGGCACTGAATCCACTGAGCCACACCAGCCAGATATTTGTGTCTAGTATCTTTGACTCAGCATAATATATGTAAGATTCATTCATGTTGTTATTTATCATAGTAAGTATTCTTATTTATTTCTGAATAGTATGTGAGGCAAGTTAGTAAGAAGCTAGGAAAATTTCCTGACAAGTGGAATAGGGAGGTAGAGGTAACGTAGTTAAACAATTAGCAGCAAGCTACTAAGTCACAAGATCTTATTTTCTCTAACCATAGACAACTCTCCTCCCCAGTCAGAGAGCATCTATTCAGGAAGAGAACTAACAGAGACCCAGTTAGTGTCATTAGTGCCAGCCAAACCCTAGAACAGTAAAGTCAGGGGAATAAATAACGACAAAAAACCAATTAGAGCCAAAACCAAGACAGAGGTGAAGCTGTCCAGAGCATGATCCCAAACCCCACTCTACACTCATTTTGATACATCAACATATTGAAGGCACCCCTGAAAAGCTGATAATCTGATGAATACCTCCCCTAAAATTCTTGCCTACGAAAGCCAGATCACCCTCAAGACAAAGGACCCAGTGTGCACCTTTCTTTGGGCATACCCATCCCCCCTTTTCCTGCAGTGTGTACTCTTGCCTTCTTTCTCCTAAGCTCTAAGGGTTCTGACTAGACTTGCAAACAGGGGAGCAGTGGGCAGCAGTAGCTCATCCCAGGCAACCCCCCGATTCTGTCTCTGAGGGTCCCCCTTTTGCCCCTATAACTTGTTTCCTGAGTCTAAGCAGCCCAGCCGAGGCTCACTTCTGTTAGAGTGACCTTTTCTCATGAGGCAAGCAACCCAGCTGTGGCTCACTCCTTTGGTCTCTGTGACTTGTTTTCCAAGTTTAAGCAGCTCCGTCTTGGCCTGATTGTTTCCTTACTTATCTAAGAGCTGAAGTGGCTCTGTCTGGGCTCAGTGCTGTTCCTAAGATCTTGTCTCCTCTGTCCCAAGCCCTCTCTTTGTCTCACTGTCCCCATCTTTCATAAGTGTACTCTCAAAATTATGTGGACTCATGCCTTACAATCTTGCCTGCATGGAGTCAGGAACCCACGCTGGGGCACACCTGCCTCAGCCAGTCCCTTCCAAGTGACAGTATGTATCCATTGTATAAATATGCTGCCATGTAATGATCTGCTCTCCTATTGGACGTTCGGATTACTATTTCTAGTGTGGTTATTGTGGATGAAGCTGCTATAAACTGTTGGGACTATGTCTTTAGATGAACACATACTTACATTTCCCTTGAAAAAATACCTAGAAGTGGAGCAGTTAGGCAATATCGTAAGTGCCTGATTAACTCTTCTAGAGTCAACACAAGAGTCATACTCCAATCAGCAGTGTGTGTGGGGCGCATCCGGTTTTCCCACGTCCCAATCACAGCACTGACGATTTTCAAAAATTGCAACCATTATACTGGTTGTGTTTTGGTATCTCACTGTAGTTTAATTTGCCTTTTCCTATGATTAAATATCTTGAGCATCTTTTCACATGCGTTTTGGACTCTTGTTTCTGTAAACTAAGACTTAGGTGTAGATATTCTCATTGATGCTGAGCTGCTGTTGCCTTTAGGTCTTCTCAGCAGACTGAGCTAAAAATACAAACATACATTTATGAACACAATGATATTTCTATATATCTGTCATACATGTATAACCATGAGTTGTTACATCCTTACCTCCAATTCCAGTCTAATACCACAAGATTCATTCTAAGCTTCTTTCTTTTCCTCGTTGTAACTCCTTTCTCTAACAATAGGAAAATAGGCTCCCATAGTACATCTATTTGCTCAATCTTACAATGTACACAAAGCTGTTTTGAAATTGCTAAACCAAACCCCTGCAGGGCAATAAGCCCTACCAAATGAAGTGTAGAATATCATTTTTATGTACTTTTTAAATTTTTAACTTTAGCCTTAGAATGTTCTGTTTTCTTAACTTATTTTTTTCTACCCCTCTCAGTGTATATATGTTATTTGTAACATCAATAAGGTTCTTTATTTTTTAGTTTATATTTCATTTTATCTTCTTCCCAGACCCATTCTTGTTCGTTGAATATGTGAAATAGTTACAGAGTTTTAAAAGGCAGACTACATAAAGAGGTATACTCAGAGAAGTGTAGATTTTTCTTGTTTTTAAGTCAGTTTTGGTAAGTTTTGTTTTTTAAATAATTTGTTTTTATTTAAGTTATTAAATGTATAGGCATTTTTATGAATATGTTGTTGTATGGGTGTATGTTTCATGATATTTTGTTGGTATCATTTTATTTTTATAGTATCTGCTGTGATAGCCTCATTTTAATTCCAGATATAAGTAACTCTAGTTTTCTATATTTCCCATGATCACTTTTGTCATGGTCTTACAATTTTATTTATGTTTTAAAATAAGTAATATTTGGTTTTTTAAATTTTCTCTAGTCATATCTTTCATTTTCTATGATTTTTTAAATCTTATGTTTATTATTTTTTCTCTTACCTTTATTTTTAGATTAAGTTTGCTTTTTCATTTCCTAGTTTCTTAAGGTAAAAACCTGGATCATTGATCTTAACATTTTATCTTTACTGTAACATTTATAGTCATATACGTTTGCCTAAGTAGTTTTAGTTGCATTCTGTGAGTTTTGATACATTATTTTTCATTATTATCTAGGTTGAAATATTTTCTTGATAATTTCTCATTTGATTTATGTGTTATTCTGAAATGTATTTGATTCCTAAATATTTTGAGAGCTTTTTCTAATTAATTAAATTATACTTCTGTTGTGGTAAAAGAATATAAGATTTCAAGGGACTGAAATCTTTCAGAGAACATACTCTGAGCATTTCAATCTTTTGACATTCATTGAAATTTTTTTTCTGCTCGTGCAGCAAATCTCTTAACTTGGTGAACCTTCTATGTATCCACCCTCAACGAGCATGTCTTCTGAATTATTTTCAGTGTCTTGTTCTATAAATGTCAACTGGATAAGCTAGTTGATAGTGTGGTTTAGGTCTTCTGTGTTACTGGTTTTTATATATTTGTTCATTCAATTACTAAGAAAAAGGTAAAAACACCTGAGTATTATCAAATTTTGCTTCTTGATAAAATTCATAAGTATATATATAGTATAAAGAACACAAATATTTAGGATTTTTATATCTGCCTAGTGAACCGCCCTTTTATCATTTTGCAATATCCTCATTTATCTATTGTAATACTGTTTGTGTTGAAGTTTATCTTGTCTTGTATAAATACAGCCATGTCAGCTTTCTTATTGGCATGGTGGACCCTGTTCTCTGTTACACTTGCCTGTCTGTGTCTTATATTTAAAATACCTGCCTTTTAGACAGCATGAAGTTGGGTATGACTTTTTATCTGGTCTGAAAATGTCTACCTTTAAATGAAGTATTTAATCCATTTACATTGCACAGTTATTAATATGACTCAGTTTAATACTATTATTTTTTCTTATTTTTAAACTATTTTGTTCATATTCCTCTTTTGTTAGCTTTCTGCTTTATTTCTGGGGAATAAAATAGCTTTTTGGTGCTCCATTTCATTTTCTCTACTAGACTCCCATGTATATATGTATGTATGTATGTGTGTGTAGCCATCTCTAATCTATTTATTTACTATTGCTTTGTAACTAAAATATGCATCCTTAACTATCAGGATCTACTTAAAGACAACAGTGTACCTCTTCGGGCTTCATGTCTTACACTTCCCACTTCATACCTCCTACCTTATTCTTTCCTCTTCTCGATACCTGATTCTTCATATTCCATACTTTAAACTTCATTCTATAAAGATTTTACAACCATATAATTCACTGATCTTTACATGATTTGTTTTTGTCATTATATAATTGTCTTCATATGTTTCCCTTTTTTATATATTATAACTCCCAGCTTAAGTGCAGGGCTGGGCCCACTGAGCGCCTTAGAGAAGGCATGGGGCTTTCTACAAGTCAATGCTGAAAGAAGGGGCTTTGTACAAGTCAACGCTGAAAGAAGCTCAGAGTCGAGCCGGCATGAGTTCCTATCTGTAATAGAACTGCCTACTAAAGAAAAAGCCTACATTCATCTGAAGAATTTTACAGAATCCAGAATATACAATAGGTTGCCTACAATGTTCAGTACTCATTTTTGTAAAGGAAGAGATACAAAGAAATTGGAAACTGTAATCCACAGAGAAGCAAAAGAAAACCATCAGTGAAAACAACCTGAGGTGATCCATTATTGACTTTAGCACAGACTTTAAAGCAGCTCTGATACACATGATTAACTACATAAAAATATGATTTTCAGGAGTGCATAAATAGGAATGCTCAGCGAAATATTGAAACTATATAAAAAACCAAATGGAAATTGTAGAAGTTAAAATCATAATGAAATAAATAAACATTTATCAGATGAGCTTATCAGCAGATTAGATATAACAAAAGAATCAATAAAGTTGAAGACAGATCAATAGAAATTATCCAATATAATAAAAAAAAAGATAAAAACCTTTAAAAACAACAGAGCTTTGGAGACACACAGACCAATACAACACGGTGTAGTGTGAATATGACGAGAATCCCGGAGGAGAAAAGAGTGTGTTTGGGACAACACGTTTTAAAAGAAATAATAACCAAAGCTTTCCAATTTTAATGTAAACCACCTCCGTACAGTTCCGAGAACTTCAGAAAACTCCGAAGAGCATAACTGTTAAGAGGAATTCATGTAGGCAACTGTAGTGAAACTACTTCAAGCCAAGATAAAGAGATACTTTTGAAAGCAGCCAGAGGAAAAAAGTCACATTTCATACGGAGGAAAAAGGAGAAAATTATTTGATTTCTTAACAAAAGCAATGAAGGACTAAAGACAATGTACTAATATTATTGAAGTGCTAAAAATAAAAACGACCACTTAGAATTGTAAATCCAGAGAAAATATCCTTCAAAAATTGGTTGAAATGAAGGCATTTTCAGATAAATGAAATCAGGGAATTCACACACAGCAAAACTGTAACATAACAATCAGTGCTAAATATGTCATATTGGGTGAGGGGACAGTGAAAACAGAGACGCGGATCCTCGCTAAGGAGTAAAGAACCCTGAAAATTACACAAAGAGAGTAGATATAAAATATTAGATTTTTCCCCTGTACGATCCACGTAGATCTTATAGAGGCTTGGCTGTAGGCTTTGTTACGGCTGATCTAGGGTAGGTCTTACTCTAGGTCATGGCCCTTACTCCACACATCTCTTGGTGTTCACGGCAGGATGCCAGGTATTTTAACAAAGTGCCAAAAAGACCTTTCCACCCTGGCTGGGCAGGAACTTAAATATCTTAGTGTGGATTTTCCCTAATTGTACTCAGATTCTAGTGTCTCTGTTCTGTGTGCAATGTCCTAAAAAACTGCTATCTTGTACTTGCTCAGGTGGGCTTGCTCTGCGCTTGCACAGTTCCTCTGTCAGCCACAGACCTGTGCTGTCCTTTACTCCCTCTGAGGCTGCCTCTACACAGCTACTGCCACCGTGACCTGCCACACACCCTCCAGAAACATGAGCTGCCCTGATCTCTGATCTTTGTCTCCGCAGCTCGACAGGACTGCCTGGTTTTGCACAGGCTGTAGCCAGGAACTCAGCGTCTGGGAGTCAGGAGAGCTACCACAGAAGCTTTGCTTGTCTCTGGGATTATAGCCTTAGGTTGCCTATTGCTTACTCTCCGAACTCAGGTGTTTCATATTCTCACTCACTGTTAGTGTTCTATACAGTGGAAGAATTTATTTGGTGCTATTTATTCTGCTTTGGCTGGAAGGGGAGCTAGCTGATCCCTAATTAGGACACCAATGATTAAGAGCACTGATTTTGGATTTACACAGAAATCAGTTGTAGTCTCTGATCTGTGTGTCTTTGGGTGTCTTAGCTTCTCAGAGTCTCAGTTTCCTTATTTATAAATTAAAACCAATGCCTACCTCAAAAAGTTATTGTAAGAAATTAATAAGGTAATATTACATATAGGTAGTCAGTAAATACTAGCTGCTACTATGACTTACTGTTACTTAGTAAAATCATTTCTATATTTTGTAGTTTTATACTTTTTAAAATTTTCATTTTATTTTACATTAGAATGGCAGCCTGTAGAATTTAGTAATCTGTAAATTAGTCCCAGGTTTATGACCTTAATTATTGTAGAAAGTACTTCTCTTGTAGAAAACATTTCTAGGAGAGCTTGAAGAATTCACTATGGGAAAGTAGATAACAACCTAATAATATGAAAAGGAAATGAATTTGAATAGGGTGAATTTCCACATTAAGCATTAGCTGAAAGCTATGCAATATTATTGAAAATGGAAGAGAGGAAGACTTTCAAGCTTTGCTAGTGGTTGTTAGTTTTTAATTATCTGTGCAAAAGTAGGGACTTGGGGAAAGAGTGGTCAGATAGTGAGAACGTGTTTATTTTCAATTTTGGAATGTGTTGTTTATCTTTGGAGAGGATTTACCATCTTAATAATGTTTGCTTTGTGTTAACGTTGAGATGAGTTCTCCCTGGACCCCACAGAGCCACCGGAGAGCAACTGTTAATTATTAGCGAGTGAGATCTGCATTGCCAAGAAGCTCAATAGCTGTAGGGGAAGGCAACCGGAGGCGGACAAATTAAAATGGTCCACGTGTGGACAATTGTGAGAACCGACTCTATGGAGACTATTCTACCTTATTAAAAAAGTATGACTACTTAAAAATTTAATACTCTACAATGGCTCATAGATAAATGAAACTGAAACAGAATCATCATTTTTGCAACTTTCATCAAAATCAAAGGAAAAAATAACTAGCATTTATTGAATGTCCATTATGGGTCAGAGAAAGTGAAAGTATTGTATCTGTTAACTTACAAACCATTTTCAGATACGTATAATTAGTCCTGTTTTGCAGACAAGAAGCCTGAGTGCTAGGGATTGAGGACACTGTCGGTTATACAGCCGGGAAGTGATGGAGTATAGATATGAACTACAGCTGGCTGAACTCCAAAGTGCTTGTATTTTCCACTTCATCACTCTATCATTTTTGAATAATAGGCCAATTTCACTTACCATAGACATTTTCTTCTTCTGGCCTCCTCCCAATAATGGTATCTCTTAGTTGGCGCAGTTTTTCCTAAATGAGGAAACATCCAGGAAACAGAAGTCAAGATTTACGAATTTGTCATGGATCAACACGAACCATCCACTACCATCACCAGTACCACCACAGCTACTTAGGACTAATTTGGTACTGAGAATGTCCCAGTGACTATCCTTGATACTTTACATGTATTATCTTACTGAATCCTCACAACTTCATGAAGTAGATATAAAACATCATCATCTCATATTTCACATGTAGAAACTGAAATACAAACAGGTTAAGTAACTTTCCCAAATCACACAGTTGTAAGTGGCAGAGTCAGGACTGGACTCCAGAGCCCCATTCTTTTGGGAGCTGTCTTGCCAATCTAACAGCTAAGGGTCTACACTGGCTACTTAGTGACAGAAAGCAGGGCAGCGACACAGTGATGACTTGCTGCCGCCAGAGCCCAATTCCAGCTTCTTCGGCACACAGTCCTCCCCAGGAATCCCGTCGGAGAACCAGGGACTCAGGAGCGAAGGGAACACAGCTGGGTTCTCCTTCTTAGCTAACTTGTGATCATTCTTTCCAGACATTCTGCATTGAACATCTATTCTTTTTAACCATAACATAAAATAGGCTAACATTTGAAAATCCCTTTTTAGGAGAAAACCTAAGATTAGCGCTTGTCCCTAAGGGTTTCTTCCCCTGGAACCGATAAACCACATTTCCTAAAGAGAGAGTTGTTTTCATTGCCTTGCAGTTACTCTCCTGAGTAGAGCAATTAGGCACCTAGTGCTTTGAGCGGAAATGAAGAGAATGAAAGATGAGGTTTTTACCTTCTCAATCACCTTACTTTCAGCTCCGGGGATTCTGCATGGGTCTTCATTATTCTAGAAACTCTTGTATTATTAACTCTGTTTGTGCCATTTTTTCCTGCTAATTTTCTAAGATAATGCCTCTGTCAATAACAATATAACTTTACAGTTACCTCTGATAGATTCATCCTCAGTGTACGAATGAATATTTTTGCAAACTACAAAAGTAATAATGAAGCGTGTGGGATTGAATGTAAATCCACCTATGTTAAGAACATGGGAGAGCATTAATGTTTTGTTCTGATTGTTGTCTGGGCTATAATATTAAGGACTAAAAAAATGTAGGAGAAAAGCTTCTTGACATTGTCTTGGCAACCTGTTTTGGGTATGATAACCAATAGCACAGGCAACAAAAGCAAAAATAAACCAGTGTGACTACATCAACCTTCTACAGAGCAAAACAAATCATCAACAAAATTAAAAAGTGACCTATAGCATGAGAGAAAATATTTCCAAATCTTATACTTGATAAGAGATCAATATCCAAAACACATAAAAATCTCATACAACTCACTAGCAAAAAACAAACAACGACAAAACCCCCAAATAATCTGGTTAAAACAATGGGCAGAGTAACTGAGTAGACATTTTTCCAAAGACAGCAGACAAATGACCAACAGATACATGAAAAGCTGCTCAACATCACTAATTATAAGAAAAATGCAAGTCAAACCCAAATGAGATACTGCCTCATGTTGGTTAGAATGGCTATATTAGAAAAGACAAGAGAGTACAGTGTTAGCAGGGTGTGGAGAAAAAGGAACCCCAAATACTATTTATTGGTGGAAATTTAAATTGGTTTCTCCATATGGAACATAGTATGTACATTCCTGAAAAATTAAAAGTACAACTACCACATGATCTGGCAAGCTCTCTTCTGAGTATCTATCAGAAGGAATGAAAACAGGATATTGAAGACATCTGCAATCCCATGCTCACTGTGGCATTCGTCACAACAGCCACAATAAGGGAACAACCTAATTGTCTGTCAATGGGTGAATGAGTAAAGATGTGATATTATATATCCTCATATATAATATATTTAGTGGAATATTCATCAGTCATCAGAAAGAAGGAAATGATGCCATTTTCAACAACATGGATGAACATGATTTGATGGCATTATGCTAAGTAAAAAATGTCATAGAGAGAAAGACAAATATTGCATGATATCACTTACATGTTGAATCTCTAAACATCAAACTCCTAAAAGCAGAGAGTAGAATGGTACTAGTTACCAGAGACTGAGAGAATGGGGGTAAGATGTTGGTCAAATGATACAAGCTTTCAGTTACAAGACAAGTTCTGGGGATCTAATGTACAGCATAGTGATTATAGCAAACAACACTGTATTATACACTTAGGACCTACTAAAGAGTAGATATTAAATGTTCTCACTCCCTCTACCCTCCCAAATTGTAATTATGTCACAATGGAAATGGTGGCTAGCACTATGGTGGTAATCATTTTCCAATATGCAAGTGTAACAAATCAACATTTTGAACACCTTAAATTTGTTTCAAATTCTCACCTGAGGATATGCTTATTGATTTTAGAGAGAGAGAGGGAGGGAGGGAGGGAGGGAGGGGGACAGCCCGAGACAGGCCTCCCCATGAGAGAGACACATTGATTGGTTGCCTCCCATACGTTGCCCCAACCAGTGACTGAACCCACAACCTAGGGATGTGCCCTGACTGGGGACTGGACCTACAACTTATTTGGTGCACTGGACAACACTCAAACTGAGCTACCCAGCCAAGGCTGAATACCTTAAATTTACAAAATGTCGCATGCCAACTACATCTCAATTAAGATGGGGAGAAAAGAGGAAAAGGACTGACTGATAACTGGAATGGTATTCAGTCAGAATGACTAAAATTTTGGGTCTTCTGGAAAGTAGCCTTAGTGCTTGCTTTTGAAATTACAGGTTAATTTTTTGTTTTGTTTTGCATAAATACTAATCTTATTCATTATCCCACTGCCCCTTTATATTAGGTAAGTTAGATCAGTCTAAAAATAGTGAGTATAGAAAGACCACCTTAAATTCTTTCTAAAACAGTATTAAATATAAATACACAAACAAAATAGGAATAACCAATAACCAAATTTTTAATAAAACTACTAGTGAAGACATTTCCAAGAAGGTGGTTAGACTGGATTACTCTAAATTGTAGACTTTATTATTGAAGAGTCTAAGGAAGATGAAGTAGAACTGACTTATTTCAACAAAATTCAGATAATCAGGCACTTCCAGGAAAGTGCTTTGCATGTGTGCACTTAAGCACATTTTCTTCCTTTGAGGATAAGAGTCATGTTTGGTGGTAGTGGCACCGGCACAGATGGAGAAGCATGAACAGTGTTCAGTTGCAGAACTCTACATTTGGCGTTCTTGCACATTTGTTTAGCAAAATCACTGTCCTTGCTTAGCCCTGCAAAGTCCGAGCCATGTTTAAACAGCGGCCCACAGCCAGAGCGGCCCTCAGAGACAGATGGTTTCTGATATGGGGTCATCTCAGATGTACCGGGAAAGTCCTCTTGCCTAAACTATCTCCTGCTTATATGCCATATTGTTCAAATTTCACCGCAGGGCTTCATTTCCCTGTTGATAAAAATGTTTTCCTAAGTGTTTTTCTAAGCATTATTTTAAGTAAAAAATAATCCCCTGGTAAAGAAAGAATATTAAGCTATTAACGATTATTTATACTGTGATGTAAACTAGCTAATTAAATGCGTTTCATCAAACACCTGCCAGACAACTGATTGCTAAGACACTGGGCTTTCCATGATGAGAAGATAAAAACTCGTGGAATGTTTTGGAAGAGAAAAGCCTGTGGATACATAGAATAAGGTCGTGATAGCCCTCACTGAGGAATCTCACAGGGTGTGTATGGTATATTTTGTTTTCATTCTTATCTCTGAACTACTCCCTCTAGTCTCTAATCACCTCCCTGGATGTAATTTTACAGAAGACAAGACTAAGCTGATCTGAAATATATACCCATGCACACACACATAAACATATCTGAGGTCTGCTTGGAAAAAGTCCAACCATTGTCAGTACATCAAGGACACTGATGTAACCTGGCAGCCCAGGAGAGTGGACTGGGATGTTCATGTGTGAACAATGATGACCTCACTGTTCTAGTCAGTGAGGGCAGTAGACACCATTGCATTTTGAATGCAATGGCCACCACATGTGTACAGTGTGGCCATTGCATTCAAAATGATTGAGTGAGTAGAGCAAGAAATCTGCATCAAATTTTGCATTAAGCTTGAACATTCCTCCATGGAAACTATTCAGATGATTCAGAAGGCCGCAGCTGCGGGCAACTGGTGATTGGCAGCTTCATCATGACAATGTGCCCGCCCATGCATCAGGTCTTGTGCACAGTTTTTTGGTGAAAGATCAAATCACCCAGGTGACTCAGTCCCTTTATAGGCCAGATTTGACACCCTGTGACTTCTGACTTTTCCCAAAATTAAATCACCTTTGAAAAGGAAGAAATTTCAGACCCTTGATGAGACTGAGGGAAATACAAAAAGGCAGCTGTTGGCAATTAGGAGAACTCTGTGAGGTCCCAAGGTGCCTACTTTGAAGGTGTCACTAATTAGGTGTCACCCTAATTTCATCAATGAGATTCATAAAGCATTCACTATACTAAAGATAGCCTTAGAAGTTGTTTAGGTTTTAGCTCTAACACTTTGGGTTCTGGCATTGAGCTCACCAGTGATCTGTAAATGTGAAGTCTGGATATTTTTCAGCTTTTTTTTTTAAGAAATTACTTTGGGGTAAAAGTCATTCTTTTTTTAAAAGTATTTTTAAAGATTTTATTTATTTATTTTTAGAGGGGAAGGGAAGGAGAGAGGGAGAGAAACATCAATGTATGGTTGCCTCTCACGTGTTCCCTGATGGGAAGTGGCCTGCAACCCAGGCATGTGCCCTGACTGGGAATCAAACTGTGATCCTTTGATTCACAAACCTGCACTCAATCCACTGAGCTACACCAGCCAGGACTTAATTTTCATCTTTTGATTGGTAGTTTGAAAACATCTTATCTTTGTGTCTATTTAAAAACAACCCAGTCAGGGCACATGCCTGGGTTGCCGGCCAGTTCCCAGAAGGGGATACACAAGAGGCAACCATACATTGATATTTCTCTCCCTCTCTCCTTCCCTTCCCCTCTAAAGATAAATAAAATCTTAAAAATATAAACAAAAGAACATTTACCTATATTTCTTGTGAAGACTCAATCTTGACAAAGAGGCTAGGAGCTCGGTGAATAAGGGAATGTTCCAGAAGGGGATGGGGTCAGTATTACCTGCTGAATCATTTCCAGGCCAGTCTTTCCCATCTGCCAGTGTTTAAATTTCTCAAGGGCTTGGTCCACAGACAGTTTCCCACTCTTCACTTTCTCCTGCAGGAGGATGAGTTCTTCCTGCCCGGCAGCCAGGTAGCCCCTCACAGTGGAATAGGTTTGACTCTCCACCCGAGGTCTGTCTGTGATAGAAGGGGAGGGTGTTTCAACAAGAAGCGAACCTATGACAACTAGAAAAGAAAAACTCTAAAAAACTAGCAGCTTAAGTTTCTTGTTCTTACGGGTGTATGAACAGCTACAGAATAAATCAGTAGACATTTTTAAATGATTTTTTTTCTAAGGATGGTGTGCCTGACACTTGTGTTATGGTTAAAGACACTGTTTTGCATCGGTGGAAAGAAAGTGGAGAGGAAGAACAGCAGCAAAATTTCTGCCCTGCATGAGCTACAGGTGGTGCCTACCACCTGGTCTTTCTGTGAGGATTACTCTGAAAAATCCCCACAAAGTACTTAGCACAGTACCTGCCACATAGTAAGCTAAATAAATGCTAGCATTACAATTAATAATAAATATGTGTAGAGTAAAAATAATTTCTTTAGCTTTGGGAAAAGAGATCTGAACCGAAATCTTAATGCCTTAAGAGGATTAGGATTATTTGAAAGTTTATTCTTGAAAGATTTAAAATACATAATTGCTGGTCACTTTGTCGTGAATGGCTTTCTTTTAAAGAGTTTATTTTTGGAGCATTCCATGTCTTATTTGTTCAGCACAAGAAGAACCTCAGACGTTCCTGTTTTCCATGTGTTGGCTGCTAATGACACACAGAGTTTGGCCGGAAGTACAGCGGTAGCACACTGCAGACCACGGGAGAATCCAGTGATTTGTCCCACATGGTGTTGGAGGACTACATGAACCCCCTGCTTGCCTTTAGGAATGTTTTGTGCTCTCCTGGCTACCCCAAGCCCTGCCACTCCTGATAATCACTGCATGGTATCATAGTGGTGCTACCTGCCCAGCTACAGAACTCATTTGCATTTATATCTTCTCACTTATATATTTTTCTGAAGTCCAACACACTTCACTGTTTTATCTCGGAAGGGATATGGTAACCCACTGGCAGCGGTAGAGGTATTATGCACTGTCAGATCAAAATATGCCCGTAAGTCTAGAAGCAGAGAATAACTAATCCTAACCAATGTGCACTAAAGAGCTGTCACTCCTTAGTGGGGTCCCTTTGTCAGGAAAGAAATAGATCAACTACAAGAGACTGACAGGGACTGGGGAGATAAGAGGGCATAAAAATTCTCTAGTAATAAGGGTTCTTTGATAATATTAGGATTGGTTAGTCTGGAAAAGAGAAGTTTCAAGTCCTTTGTAGCAGGATTAAGTATGTGAAGGAAACCTGAGCCTCAGGGCTCTCTTGGAACAACTTCTAATGTTGCTCTCAGTTTTGAGCAAAAATCTAGCAGAGAATCTGGGAACAAGGATACGGAAAGGGTTTCTTTCTGAAAAGATTTACATGCCCATAAAACTGTTCCATGGACCATCATTCTGGTCCACACAGGGCTTTCTTGGCTTGTCTTTTCTCTTCAGAAGTCCTATTGCCCCAGAACTAACAAGATGTCAACAGATTCTGTACTCAAATCTCTTCCTTCGGGGATGACAAAGCATGAAATCCCAGGGAAACTGGAGATGCACAAGTCAACCACAGGGCTCACTGGTTCAGCAGCCAAAAGCACAGATAACGACTGAGGTGTAGTTTCTTGTACCAGTGCTTTTTATAGGTCTCCACACTCCAATTCAATTTGCGAGGTGCAGTTTGCAGAAGTTTCCCTGCAGTTCCAGCCAGAGTGTGGAGGCTTAGCATCATCATTTAACAGCCATGCCATTTAACTAGCACCTCACTTCTGTCATCTCTTTACCTAAGTGTGAATCCATTTTTATCTCAGGTAACCATGCAGCTGAATTTTCTGCTTTCTGTGGAAGTTTTTACAAGAAAAGTCTTCCCCCCAGAATGTACCAGCTTCAGTTTAGCTGAACTAAAAAAAAATGAGTCTTCAGAAATAAAATTTATTTCAATCACCCTTTTGTATTTCAAGTTTTAGCTATTAAAATATAAATAAGACGATTTTGGGGGGGTGGGGGTTCAGTTCTGTATGGTTGTGTAAAGAGAGCAAAAGAACAAAGGTTAGGAGCAGCAGAAGTCTCTGTAACAAGTCCTGAATGTGACTTGTTTACAGCTAGACTGACTTTCCATACATCTGCTTTTACTTTTTGCACACTAAATCTGATAAGATAAAATAAAATTGTTTGATAAATTACTATTACGAATGATAAGTTGCAAAGGCACTTTACCAACTTTCCCCCTAAGGGTAGATTAGTCAAACAAAAATGTGTAACCTGTTAACTTTAAGTAGTATGTGCAAAATTGCTTCATTGCACTTAGGTTACTATTTTGTGGGGGGTAGTGGGTTGAGGGATTTTTTCCTTCCCTCCCAGTTTTATACTTAGTTTATTTTTAGACACACTAGTGTAAGTTTAATATAATTTTCCTCAAAAAACATTTTTCAGGCTGTGAACTGTACATACTACAGCCTCTTTGTCTCTTACTGTTAAAACTTCAAGACAAACTATACATTCTAAAGTTGTGGTTTTTTAATTGATTCACAGCCTTTGGCTGTGCAATCAAATGCAAATGTTTAGTTTCTTTAGTATTATTCTTTCTAGAAGTTATCCTATTTCAGCAAATGCTCATCGTATAAACATCAAGAAACATGCCGTGGTCAGTATATGAATCTGTAGGTAAGACAGCATACTGGGCTTTTCATTCAAATTCTTTCTGTTTACCGAGTGACTGGCTAGAACATATTTTAACCGAAAACTTTAAAGGAAGCAACTTGATTGCTCAACAAAAAGGAATTTAAAATATAAGACGTCTACTTAATAAATATTAGGCAGTCATTAAAATAACAGCAATGACTAAAAAGACCTCGTGGGAACAAAAAAGTGCCTATTATATAATGACGAGTACAAAAGCAGGATACAGAATTGCATATACAGTAAACTCTTAACACTGTCGATGTTGTACATATAGAGCATTGAAGAAAAATTTTAAAGATGATACTGGCTATTCTGTTGTGATGATATCAAAGGTAGTAACTTTTTTCTAATTTCTAACACTCCATAATAACACTATATTGTTTTCACAATAAGAAAATATCTCCCCCTTTGCTAATGGGTTTCTCCATAGAATACATGCCACTCCAAACCATGCCAGATATACTATACTATGCCATATCATGCTGTACCATCTTGCCATATTCCTAAGTATTCCAAAGTATTTTGTGAGCAATTGGGAAGAACTGGTCAATAACAGGACTTAAAGAACCAGTGATTGAGTTTTAAATCTGAAGTTATATTTTTTCCATAGCTAGGGGATTGGCAGGTAAATAAGTTCAGGTCCACATGGGCAGACTAACAGAGACCTGGAATGTTGATTTATTTGTAATTGACAAGCAAGTAAGTCTCCACATTTCCTTAACTGAAGGCGGCACATAACAGTGTCTCTCCTTCATTAAACTTTGGTGAGACTCCGCTGAGTCCTTTTCCAACGAAGCTTTACCTTTTACACTCCCATGTCTGTCTTCGTGGTACCTAATTTTCACAAGCATCAACATACTGAAGAGGTTTTGCCAGAATCTCCCACACTTGATATCTGATCAACCTCCAAATCTGATTGGCTTCCTTATCTTCCACTATCTTCCAGGTAATATCTGACCATCTGCCAGCCTTTAGCAGGAATCCTATTAGGTCAACATAGCTACAATCCCTCTTACCCCTGATGTTTTCTCTTAGTGATTTTGCATCCATCCCCTGCCTATCCCACACACTCTGCTGCTTGGCTATAAACTCTCATTTTTCCTTTTGTATTCAGATGAGACCGATGTCTCTCTTACTGCAAAACTGCATTGCCTTGGTCCCTGTACTTAAAACATAGTGCCCCTGAATAAAGTCATCTGAATAATTTTGCCAAGCATCTGAATAATTTTTTCATGAACAATGCATTCTTTGCCATTTCACTTTAATTGTTGGGGATTTACAACACGACTTTTCCCCACTACTTAGAAAATAAAGAAAAGCACCAAAAGACAAAATGATGACCATTCACTATTACACTCTTTAGAGATAGACTGTCAACATTCTACTGTTTCTCCTTTTTCAGTGTACTTTTATTTTTCCTAAATTGGGCTTATACTGATATTGTGTCCTGCTATCTGTATTTTTTTATTCATATAACCTAAGAATGTTTCCATGCCACTGAATATTCTTTGAAATGTGTTTTTTTTGCTATATTATATCTAAAAAGTTTGTATGGTCCATGAAGTATTTAGCCATTCTGCTGCTGTTGTCAATTTTTTATTCCTACTACAATATATATTATTATTGTTTAAAAGTCTTTCAAACAAATCATTGGCTGTTATGCTGTTAATTATCTTAGAATAGACTCCCAAAAGGATACTTTCTAGTTAAAAATCCTTGCAGAGCTATTAATAATCAGCACCAATCTCCTTTCCCGGAGTGTGTTGCTATTTTCAGCCTCACTGGGATGGTGAACAAGGGCCTGTCCTATTGTACTTTTGCTAATACTTTGCATTATTTGAGTAAAAAAAAGCACATAACCTTAATAGTTTTATGATCTAAACCCTTCTTTTACTGCTAGTAGTTGTCATGCTGATATAATGTTAAATGCTATAGATTTAAGCGCTGTGTAAGTAGTAGACTTTAATAAGATATATAGCAAAAGGTGCTACCTGAATCTTTTAAATTTTCTACATGTTGCCTAATTTGAGCCCTATTTATTTATTTATTTGATTGTTTGTTTGTTTGTTTTCTTTGTGAATTAGAAGCAGTCTTCCAAACTGTTGACTCTTTCCCCAGGGGAAAATAAGTTCTTTTAATCCTTTCAAAATAATTGGGGTTTTCTTAAATCCATAAATCATTTTAAGAAGACTTTGGACTATTTATCTACCTGTCTAGGAAAAGGCTGTGCCTCTCTCTTTTTTATTGGGAACTGTTCATGTTTCCATTGCAGAGTGAATCAGTTATTTTTTCTTTCATGATGTCTTCAGACTATTATTGCTGGTACATAAAAAACCAAATTATTTCTGAATATATTTAAAAA